CAGAAGCCAGAGCCACGCGTCAGGCGCCTTCCATCCGAGTCCTCCGCGCTGGCCACGCCGCTCATTATATACTGCATCTCCTCCATGTCCTCCTCTGGTTGGCTGCTTACCTTCGTCGCATACCATTGGAACGCAGAGAGACACAGGATTGGCTGAGGCCAGGTGGCCCAACATGTCTGCGCCGTAATCCGACGCCACACCACACCACACACCGCACCACACTGCAGTACCATGCTGGCACCTCGAATTAGTTTCTGCAGCCTTAAAAGGGCTTTTATGGTAGGCCTGTTTAGTACTTTTTAAAATCATATGTTCATTCTGCGGCAAATCTAATTGTTGTACAATTTTGGTTCATATATTCCGTGTGAATTCTGCAAGCTAAATCCCTTTTCCCTAAGTGTCTTTCATTATTCTTTTTCCACCTCTTTTTATTTATTTTCAGCTGGTTTACTTGCAGGTCTTTGACTATTAGTTTGGTTTTGTTTCTCGTGGGTTTAATTGGTATCTTACTTTTATGGAATATGGAGGTTCGAATGCTAGCACTTAAATTATCGATCGACGTACAGCTCATTTTATTTGAGTTTTTGAATACCTTCTGAATTTATACTACTATTTGTCGATCAAGTATTCAAATGGTTATAGGCCTTTCTGCCCCCAAAATTGTAAGACCGTGTTCCAAATGTTTATGCACTCGTTATGCCACAACTATAGTATTGGGAGTTTGTTTGGTGTATAGTCTTATCTTCAGTTTATTGTTGGCGTATCATTCCACAATCTTGCGGTTTTTTTACTACCTTTTGTTCCCTGCGATATTTGTTCGTCTTTTTTAGATCTCGTCTCCGATCCGAACATACAAGACACCCGTTAACACTGGCATTCTTTTTGTACCTGAACGACAAGCTTGGGTGGTGGAGCGACTGGGGAAATTTCATTGTATACTTAGTCCCGTGGGTATCATTTCACTTCTCCAAATTCAAGGAGCTTCTGTAGGGCCTCAACTTTTGTATTCCGCTGGTGGATAGGATTGCGTATGTCCAGTCCCTAAAGGAAATTGCTATTGACATTCCGGACCAGGCTGCAATCACTTCAGGTTATACTAATGAATTCGCGTTTTCAGCATTAGTTTCACGTTCTTAATTCGACTTGTTCCTGCTTTCTCTTTAGATAATGTTGTTTTACAACTAAATGGCGTCCTTTTTCTCAAAGTAATGGATGCCTATAAGGCTTCTTATGGTGTTGAAGATGCGGAATTTGCAATCACACAGGTAAAATTGTAATTGTGAAGAAAATATGCACACATGTTGACATTGTGATTAAGCGACCTAATGTGGCATTATCTTGAAATCTTAGTAAATTTATTACTTGTAAATTCATGGGAAAAATCCCGACCTCGTTACCAATTTCGTCGGTTTCTACCTACAGCAAATCTCAACTCTTGGCACAGTTACGCATGCAACACAAAGATACGGCCGCGTTTCACCGCATTATGTTTCCACAAATATGTGCGGGAACGTGTGCGTGTGTGGTGACCTCGTGCCCATGATATTGTTGTGAAAATATGCCATTTAAAACAGCATCAATAAAAACAAACTGCCACATACAGGGGGGCCGCGACATTACCCCATTCCTGTTCACTTTTAGCTCGCCCAGACAACAATGCGTTCGGAAATAGGCAAAATAGCTTTGGATAATGTATTCAAAGAACGTGAGGCCTTAAATTACAGCATTGTTCGATCAATCTGCAAAGCAGCCGAGCCCTGGGGTATTGAGTGCCTGCGGTACGAAATCCGTAAGTCGCTAATATCGCCTTTCCTATGTCGTATCTGTCAACTTACAAGGCAGCACTTTGGAAAACCTATTGGTTAGTGATAACTACAAACACTAAGCGTGGACTCGTGAGCACTTTTGTAAAAATGATAGCTTTTTAAATATTTGTTTGATTCGAAACTTACAAATCCACCAGTCAATAAACTAATAGCGTCCTTACCTTTCACATGCTTCTTCGTTATCCTCCTATGCTCTATTGCTGCTGTGACAGACATTAAGAAGCAGTGAATTATTCCCCTCGTGGTTGTTTTTAAATGATCGGTATCCCACCCACATTTGCTTTAGTTAATCGTGGAGCGGTAAATATGCCTTTTGTTGACGTCATGTGGGCATTGCTTAGCAATGACAAGGATTGTTTGTTTTACATCACACTGAGTGCTCAGTGTGTCGGGTATTGTACGTGGTCGTGGTGGAACCACACTGTCACATTACTCAAAATTTAGTGGCACTTGGGGAGTATAACAGTATTATTTTGCTCAAATAAACGACCAGTATTTTGAGGATCCCAATTATGTTTCTATAGGCCATTTTAAGAGGTTTTAACTTCAAAATTGAAAGTTAGTGTAAATACTGGAGATCACCATTTGGGTTTTATCGGACTGTTTATCTTGATGTCCAAATTCTCATCCGAATCTGATTGATCGTTGAATTTGTTTGATTCCTTGTTTCCCCGCTTCCCTAATCAGTGATTTCTCGATAGCCAAAAGTGAACAGCATATCGATATATTCGGTGCTTGCTGTTGCCAAAATCGAAATTTTCATGGTGACGAATGGCACCGTACCTGATGAAAACTTGATTGCATGGGGACAGCGCCTTCGGGATGAATGAAATGATGAAAGGTGAACGAGGTTGAGTGGATTTTAGTTTGCCCATTGTTTCCCGTAAATGGTCAACATGGCTGCATGGGTCTTGTCAGGTAGTCTCAATGTTGTTTCGAAAACCATTTCGGCGGAGAAATAACCCAAGTCTGCCTTTATGGCTGATCCAAGGCCGGGTAGGAGGAGGAGGGGTAATGCGTTCGTCCTACGAGATGAGTCCTTTTGAGCTGCTAAATCAACCTTCAATTGTCGTTGAAATAGTTCTACAATGGCATTTGATTGAGGATGGTAGGCGGTCGCTCAGTTGCAATTCAGCTCCAGGAGCCGTGTGGGATTTTGGCACAGACTTGACTCGAACTCCTGCCCACGAACGTTTTAGCTTCTGTTTCGGCGGAGATGTTTGCATTGGAAAAGCGTCTTGATATCGGGTGAAGCGGTCAATGCAAGTTCTCACTTAACTGAAACCTCTTGAGCACTACAGGGGTCCCAAAATGTCGACGTGTACGTGATCAAGCACTGTGTCTGCATATTTTTCACATATCCGACATGAAGTGAAGGTTTGCGTCGCTCGGCTCGACTGGCCTACCTTGACCTCCAATTCTCTGCGTCGTCCACTACAGGCAAAGAACAGACATCTGGCACGGACGTAGTAGCCGCCAACAAGTATAATATTTTAGTAATTTGTTCGCTTAATTAGTGTTGCTATCACTGCAAATACCAACAAAGTCCCGGCTGTCGCATGTGGGATGTTACACTTAAATTTAGCCAAACGCGCATCCCTATATAAAAAATATTTGCGTTGATTGTTTCGTTGCACATTCCTCGTTTTTTTGGATCGCAACACCTGTCGTTCTTTTTCTTGTGAAGAACCCAGAGCACATGTGAATAGCAAAACGGTGTCTTACTACGCGAGATGATGGCTGGGGAGCTAGTTATGCATTGTAACAAAAAGTTGTAAATCGTCGTTTGGCTAACCAAGTCTACTTGGTTAAAATAACATCTTGAGTGTATTGTGGATTGTAGAGTGCCATTCAGTATTCGGTTTTACTATCTGCGACGAAATCTTTGTATTATTATGCCACTAAATCGTTTAAGTGATCCCCAAATTATCCATATTCGTACTACTTTTTAAAGATTGCTTTAGTTAAAGCAAGAGTATTTATCGCGTCCTTCATACTCGTCCTATTTTCCGTCAAAGGGTCTCCTTGTGTTAAATAGTTCGGAATATCACGTACAAACTAATGACCTTCATAAAGTGAGTGAGGTTGAAAAGACCTACTCAGGTTTTGTATCCCAGAGACCGCAATTTCTCAGTGTGTTTTCCTAAAACGGAGGTGGACAAGGCTAAAACAAGTAGTCCATATTAACACTGCAATTCCTCGAATTAAATTACTTTTTATTCCTTCACTACCTATAAGTAAGCGGTTCTTGATAAATTTTTGTCTGACTGGGGTTCAGCCCATCCTCTTTTAAATCCTTGTGGCCGAATTTTTAGTCTCATTAAACTAGCTTTTTCAGCTCCTACTCCAATTATTCAATAATGTGTTTCGTGGTCGGCAATTTAACATGCCTTATTTTATCACAAAACGTGGAGAATGATTTGTGGATGACTCCTAGGTGACATCCAACTACCCGCGAAGATAAAGGACGCCATGCAAATGCAGGTTGAGGCTGATCGGCGAAAACGTGCCGCCATCCTTGAATCCGAGGGTCAACGAGATGCCGAGATAAACCGAGCCGAGGGGATCAAACAAAGTCAAATTCTTTCCTCCGAGGGCCAACGTGTCGAGACCGTCAACAGGGCTGTCGGTGAGCCTTGGTTTTATTTTTTTTCCCCAAGCAACGCGCTGGTTGTCGACGTTTTGAGGTGTGGTTGTGGCCTCTTTTTCAAGATTGCTGTGTTAGGCCTGAATATTCCATGGTTTGCGCCCTGAGTAGATATTGTCTTCGTACCCTCTACCCAGGCTGTCTACTCCTTCAAGTTAAGTAAATTATAAGGTTTGCTCGTTATGCTTCCATGACTGCTGCTACCAGTGTCACGTAAACCTGCATACATATGCATTACAAGTGTGTTGTTTTGCATAATGCCATTGTACTCGGTCATTTTCTGATTTTTGGTCCCAATCACCCTCAGTTCAAAAGGAAAATATTTGGCTTTCATTTTTCACCAGGTGAAGCCGAGGCGATCATGAAGGTGGCTGAGTCTCGGGCGGAGGCTGTTCGAAAGATCGCTGCAGCCATCGCCGGACGGGTAATTTGTGCTAAATTTGCTTGTTGCATCGATGGTTGCACTTGATCATGTCGTTTCTCTACGGAGGTCTGTAGATCCACCCGTTTTAATAATGGTTGTGCGGTCATTATCTTTGTGTCCAAATTTGGATTACGACAGGTACCTAAGTATTCTCCCCCCATTTAGCGGATATTATTAGGACTGACCTTTTAATTTACCATCTTGACCATAACAAAGTACATGGACATGTGCTAGTCACGTCATGTCGGGTCAGTGTTTCCTGATATCCTGTTTTTTTTCTGCATGCTGTTAAATTGGCCTTTAATGTGTCCTTTACAGAACGGCGTTGATGCAGTCCAGATGTCCATTGCGGAACGCTACATTGATGCTTTTAGTAAACTTGCGAAGACCAACAATACAATGCTTCTGACCACAGATGCAGGTGATGTTTCCGCGATGGTTGCAAAGGTAACGCACGAAGTCCACTTTGATTCCCACTTTTTCAAAAAAGTTTATGCTTAAATGTAACAGCTGCGGAAGTATCAATTTTTTTCTATTTTTGATTTGCGACTATTTTAAACTTGAGACGCCACTACGTAGACGAGCTATTTTAATATTCGGCAAATATTCAGTACATATTGGGCCCTTGAAAGCCCTAACAACTTTTAAATCGGAGTCGTCCGAGTTTGGTGCTCTTTGTGGCCCGTCTCAAGTTTTAAGCCTCCTCGTGTCTTCTACACCCCCTGTGTAGCTTGACTGTAAAATGCCATTGTGACATAGCACTTGTTTCTGCTAAAACATACAGAGCGTGCTGACGTAACCTCTAAAAGGGCGACAATAGGCCTACATTCGCCAATATCGCTAGTTTTTGATGTAGTGTTGCGTTTTCGGCCAAAATACATGGTCATGAAACGGCAACCTCAAAGTGGCGTGTCTTTCGTATTCGGTTTCTGTAGGCTCTGGCGATTTTCAAGACACTGGACAGGGATATCGCTTCTGAAGTGGCAAGGGAAACCTCTGAAGCTCTCACACAAAGTGCCGAGTCTGTCAACTCTTCGAATTCATCCAAAAGATTTTTGAAAATAGCAGAAGATGCAGTGGATGAAAAGTGACTGAAATTCCTTATGATGAGCTAGTTAACTGTTGGATCGAATATACTTGTTTTTGCAAATTCCTTGTTAATTTTAACGATTTGTTAAGGTAGTTGTTATTTAAAGTCTCTTGAAATCTCGGCGTAAAGTTCAAAGGCGTAATGACTCATTTTAACCTTGTGTATGAAATTCGTGATACGGGGTTTTCGCTCACTCAGAGTTGGTTGCTTGAAAATTGTGGGTAATTTGTTGCGGTTGCTGTGAAATGCACGATGGTAACGTAGGCGATGTTAGGCGGTTTTACGCCTGATGTGTGTGATGAGTGGATGGAAGTGTGGAAGGCAAAAATGCCAAGTGCATAATTATAGGCGAAATGTCAATGTTTATGATAAATATGAACTGCTGCAGATAGTCCTCGCATGGCACGCGGGGGATGATGTAGATACCGATTAAAGGTTAACGTCGTCCTTCTAAATTGGTTGGGTTAGTTGGAGTGTTTTGAGGTCACGCGTTGAAGTGTGAAAAAATATCGCTGGTGCCAACGGAATGTCGGAATCGTTCGTGCTTGAAGGGAGTGGAATATCCTTGCTGCTGCAATGAAAGCTACTATTAATAGTTCGTCATCTACCGTGCCTCAACTTTTTTCTTTTAAAAAGGCCAAAGTAACGGCACTTGCTTGCTGACACAATGAGGAGCCAGCAGTCCCCGTAGACATGATAGTTACAGAATACAAGCATCCAGAGAGCCCCTCAGAATACAGATTTCTCTGATATAATTACGCTTAATGGCAACATGTTCCTCAACACTCTCAAATAAGTAGTTACTTTAAAATCGTAACTTTATTCCTACACTGAACTAAATGCATGCTGTCATTGGGCTTGTTTTAAAATCTACTTGACTAAAAATTGCCATCTGTTTTAGGCGGAGTTGAATAAAAACTTGACCCAACCGTTTTGTGGGACAGCTTACTTCGACACAGAATGAACAATCAAAGCTATAAGTCTTATGTGTGAATGAAAGTTGATTTGGCTGTAACAGCCTTTTATTGCCACTTGTCATGTCTAAAGAGGCGAATTCTCTTCACTCAGTGTGTGAAATCTTGATCATTAGTCGGATATTTTTGAATAATATTTGATTCACAGAGCCGTTTTGATGACGATGACCTCTGCGACAGTTTCTAGATTATTACGTGTGTCCGAGATAGTTGAGATTATTTGGATATCTGATCTGATCTTGGCCTCATTTTCATGTCTCTCTTCCTCGTCAATAAAATTTCTCCTTCCTAGTCTTAGGCTTTAAATTTTGCTATTTGCACTTTCAAAATAACATTATCTTATATTTGTCCAGTTAGCTCAGTATTCGTTAAATCATAATGATCATCTTATTGGTCAGAGTCAACAAATATGGACTGTTGAAAGTATTTTATTCGTGACCAATTTCGTTTAGCTGTACATTACTTGGGGTTATTAGCCAAAATGAAGTTCGAAATTGGGCATTCGCGCTTGACCTTTTACTCGAACATGGGACTATGTGCCTAATCGACAGGTTGGTATAACATTGGCTCACCATCAATGCAGAAGGGGTTCGTGCGCTGTAGTATACATGGACCTACTAGGTTAGAAATCTGGGTTTGCATGCACATGTGGTTCGCCAAGCTCGATATTCTGTCCACACGCAAGATCGAGCACCGCTGTCTTGACATGCTGATACCATGTTTCGAAAATGTCCTAGTTACATTCTTTTTAGTCTGGAACTTGTGGTAGTCGGCATTAGTGCATATAATTAGCTTGAGGTGTTTATCAGGAGATACTTTGTGACACCGTTTCTCCAAAACCGATGTTTGCGTCAGCATTTGAGACGAACTATAACAAAGATTTTTAGTGATACAGTTTTGTACAATTTTAATGCATGAATTTGGTCAGATGTTGGTGGTCTTGAGTAAACAAAGTACCACGCGATTTGAATCATTCACTCAATACATTTTGAATTGCAACTTATGGGCTCAGGTGTCTTCGGTTGCTGCTGAACATTAGAGCGAGTGGTGTTCTTTTTCATGCAGTGGATACTGATTGACCGACTGCCATGTCATTATCAAAGCTCATCAAAGTAGAAGGAGAGGGTTAGATGATGAGGTTCCTATGAGTCAAGTATCTATGGTTTCAGCGATTCCTTTCAACACCTCATACGTGTTTTCCACAAATCTAGACCCGTATTTTTAACTTAGTAAAATTCAATCTTTATTAATCTGTACAGCAACTGTTTATACACAAGACGCACGCTTTCACTAACTGTGTTTGATACTTCTCTGATTTCACTTTTCACAAGACCTGTGTTTAAGACTGCGGTAAATGGGTACCCTTTCTTCTTTAACACAAATTGAGTAGATATGTAACTAAACTGGCTATATTTATCGTTATGTTTTACCTAATTTCGCTGCTTTATTGATCTGTATTATCCAGCAACGCATTGATAATAGTAAAGAATGTTGCCTTATTTTTATTAGACAAATCAGTGCACCTATACGGGTGACAACCTGTGCATTGAAGTAAAGTGTGGTAGTGGGAAAAGCACTGAGACTAACCAATCAGTAGAAGACCATTCAGAACGCATTCGTTTTGGTGCTCTGTAATTGCTGCCAAAATCATGTTTAAAACTGATGATATAATTACCTCATTTTACATTTGTAAATTGAACGTAAAATTCATTGAAGTGGTGTTCTCAATGTAGATGAAAAGGGTTGTCGTAATCAGCAAGTCACTTGGCCGGGTGTGGTGGCGCACTAGACGTGAAAATGCCAGTTGCAAGTGATGTTAGTACTAAAATCAGAACAGTCTTCACTTTTGTTAAAAGTGAATAGCGCGGTCAGATCTGTCTGACATTAAAGTTTCTATGAGCAGACGGTATATGTGTTTCCACGCTATATCTGTAATAAAGCGAATCTGATAAAATCAACCTAACGAAATGTAACAACCAGTGAAACTGTGACGATAAATAGAAAATGGTGTAAAAGTAGGTAGTTCATAGACAAAGTCGGGTTTTTGTTAAAGTATGGTCTCCCCGAGTGCCTACCTATCCTTAGACTAATTTTTACTGTGGGGACGAATACAACGAAAGTAAAATTGGTTCTTTACATTGTGCTTGGCTACCTCTTTATTCAGTTTTAGACCAAAAAGACGATGCGCGAAGAGAAGTCGAAGTGACTGCTTCGTGCCATTCATCATCAAGGCACTAGTTTTAGTTGGATGATGCTTTCTGGGACCATTTCTTTATTTTCTGACATATGGTTTAAGATATTTTTATATACGTTAAGTTTTGCCAGTAACCAAAACCACAAACAGATAACCGGTACCCTAGATCCCTTATCATACGCTAGCCTCTCCCCCATCTTCCCAAACTAATGCAAGATACGGCGGGGTCTCGTGCAGAGAGCTTTAATCCTGTCAGCCAAAGTGCGAGTGATCTGTCAGAATATCGGTACTTATAAAGGTCAAGGGTGACCTTGATCTGGTGGATGAAAGCGGATTAGCACAGGTGGGACGTCAGCAGGGCGCCGTGGGTGACCCACCCGCTGGCGTGGCGTGGTTGGGGGATCAGTGCAAGCAATGACGAAAACCGGCGATGAGCCATCCTGGGGAATCCTGGATCCCCAACAGTATATGTGGGAAGGAATCGCTTGTCACACAAGGGGTTGTCTTTTGCCGGTTCAGAATAACCGAATGAAGCCTGTTTTGACATAAGTGCCGTAAGTTTAGAAATGATGGTTAGGAAATTTTACCGGTTCTGTAATCCCAACGTTTACCAATAGGATGTCTCTGGAGGTTTCTTAGAAGACAAAATTGACTTTCAAAAAACAAACAAACACCTTATTGACAAATTTTATGACCTTGTGAACAGTGTCAAAAGTACTGTACTCGTAAAATTCGGGTTGCTAACCGAATTCTTCAGGTTAAGGTAATTGTCAATTTGTGGAGTTTTACTCATATTGCTCTTGAAGTGAGAGTAACCTGTTGTACCTAGCAAAATTTAACTGCCAGTCATTTCTTAATGCCAATTCTGAGATACTTTTAAGAATATAAGTCGAGTTGCATTGTTCGCAATTCAAATAACTGGGGTAATCCGAAGTTGACTTGATAGACCTCTTGCGTAAGGACTACTAGTGCATTTGTTAAATTCAAACTGCATTTGTGTGGAGTCTGGGCATAATCTGCACTAATACAAGCATGAACACAATGGCGTAAGAGAAATTTGTTTTCGGCAATTGGGTCACGATGGAACAAATACTGTTATCAGCCTCAATAACTGCTTCCAAATTAGTCTAGAGGCTGTGCATTTTGACCGTGCACTAATACCTTTTCCAAAACACCACCATTGTGAGTAATGCCAATCAAGTGATTTGTGCAGATGTACTAGCTTGGATGAGTTTTAAAGCGTATTGCAGTGAAGGTCTTATATCCAGTAAAAAATGAATCTAAAAGTCGCCATAGTTAGATCTATAGTATTTTCTTAAGGGTTCCTTCAGGAAGACGCAGTAAAATAAAAATGCTAGCAAAATTTCCGTCTTAGTGATGTCCTTTCCAAGACACAACTGGTTGGTTATCTTAGGTTTAAATCTGTACAACTCATTCGCTCTTACGCATTAGGTGATGACTGGATAAGCTTTTGTTTCTATCTACCACAACGGATCATTTGAAAATTTTCCCCTTTTAAAGCTTGCACGCTTGCTAGGTAATCTGATGTACTGATTCTATACCCTCATTTATCATCAGCTTCTCTCAGTAGCATTGCCAAACATCCTTCTGTGGTCTGCGTATGAACGGTTGATAGAAACTTTTAAAAAGGGCAGGGATTTCAAGTTTAAACATTGCCTAGTGACTGTCACGAAAGCAACCGAAAGATAAGATGAATCTTTTTAATGCATGCAGATGGTTTTATTCAAGGACAGCAGAATAAATGGACTTTTCCCATCAACAACCTTAATGTTATTTACACACTGAAAACAAAGAATTCACTTTGTTATAACT